ATTTTTGTTTAAACAAGATTTACATAGTAAATGGCATCGACGATGTTTCCCCATTGTAACGCCAGGTCTTGTTCTCCTCAAACGTTTTTCGATTACGATCGTGTAATTTGTTCTTTTGTTCATAATTAGCCTCACTTTTATTGAATCTGAGTTTGGATTAGGATTTTGTTGACATGTTAGTGTTTTCTTGTTGTTTATGCCGACCTGAATAAAGAGACACAGTGTTATCTCTTAATAGTTATTAAAAGGTTATAAAATGTGTAGCTATAAGTTATCATAAATCATTGATGTTAGGTAAAAAGTATATCTTGATGGTATTATACACTTGGAAGAGATTTACATCCCAAATGATAGTGTGTATTATTATTGTTAAAATGAATGGAAAATAGATATACTGAATTCTAAGCGCACTCAAACACATCTGTTACACGAAACGCGGTAGGGCATCTAACAGAAGGATTAGCTGATCTGTTGATCGACCGCCTTACCGAGAGTAAACATTGACAAATCATTTATAGTCACTACTAAGTATTGGACCATGAATAGAAACAAGACTTCACATATCACGTATACATTAAACCAAGTTTCCGCCTAACAGCTTACCTGTGAACAAAATATGGATGAAGTAAACAAACATGTAGAGATAATAATATTACTGTACTCAACAGCAAACGTATCCCATTAATGGAATTTTTACGTTTAATGGAATATAGAAAATGTTCACGTATTTTTAACTCTTCATTTTTCAAAGCTTTTTTACATTTACAAAATTACACAAGCTAATGTCTTTCACCGCAACAGCCAACGCCACTGCCACCACCATCTCCACCACCACCACCATCAAACACAACAATTAACCCCATCACCACTACTGCCACAACCATCTCCACCACCGCCACCATCAAACACAACAACAATTAACTCCGCCACCACCATCGCCAACACCATCTCCAACACCGCCACCATCAAACACAACAACAATTAACCCCGGCACCACCCCATTGCCACCACCATCTCCACCACCGCCACCTTCAAACACAACAATTAACCCCGCCACTGCCACCACCATCTCCACAACCGCCACCATCAAACACAACAAAAAATAACCCCGCCACCGCCACTGCCACCACCATCTCCACCACTGCCACCTTCAAGCACAACAATAATTAACTCTCACCATCAAACACATCAAAAATTTACCCCGCTACTGCCAATGCCACCTTCAAACACAACAACAATTTACCCCGCCACCGCCAATGCCACAACCATGTATGATTTTGATTCGCTTTATTATCTGGACGTTTTATTGTTATTATCAGAGTCAGTGCATGACGTTAACACATTTTCCATTGGTTTTGTGTTAACACTCTATAGTAACAAAGATTTATCTAACATTGACAATATTTAGAAATAGGTATAGCAGAGTTAAACAACATTAAACCAATTACTAAGTGTTACAGTATAGTGTACATCACGAAGACATTCGTCTCTTACGTAAATCAGTAGTATGGATTGATTGTAATTATCAGATGGATAGTAAAACCTTTCACCTCTGGAAGAAGATTATATCAAGTGAAAACGGGGATAGTGAAACAACAGGAGGAATGCTGACAGGATGATGGAACAGCGGTGGCACTGAAGTAACACACAAGTAAACAAACCTGAAACATTTGATAATAGATAAGTTTTGTGTTAGGTTTGAGGCTGTAGGCGTTTCCATTTATCAAATATTTTTATTCTTATCTTGGTCAAAAGCTATCCTGTGATGTTACAGCTGTTTGGTTATAGCTTTAGGTTATGCATTGCAGAAAACTTAGAAGGTTTAATAAATATTAAGCTTGATACAATTATTTTTTAATTATTTGTAAATGCTGCATGTTTTAAGCTGGACAGTATAAACGTTCCGTCGCCAGTTTTATATTAATATATAATATATAATATCAGAATGAAGCTACAAACAGGTGTTTGGCTTTAAATTATACAGATTATCAAATTGACTACTTTAATTTATGTAGATTATCTAACTGAACTACGTTACATAGATTATTAAACTGACCGACACTACGCAAATTATTAAAGTGACCGACGCTACGTAGAATATTAAACATGGCGACGCTACCTAGATTATCAAACTTACCGAGGCTTTGCATGTTATTAAACTGGCTGACGCTTAGTAGAAAATTAAACTGACCGATGCTACGTAGAATATTAAACTGGCCGACGCTACGCAAAATAGTAATCTGACTGACGCTACGTGGAATAGTAAACTGACCGACGCTACGCAAAATAGTAATCTGACTGACGCTACGTGGAATAGTAAACTGACCGACGCTACGCAAAATAGTCTGACTGACGCTACGCAAAATAGTAATCTGACTGACGCTACGTGGAATAGTAAACTGACCGACGCTACATGTTTATTATCAAACTTCACATCGCTACGTGGATTATCAAATTGCACATCGCTACGTGGATTATTAAATTGCACATCGCTACGTGGATTATCAAATTGCACATCGCTACGTGGATTTATCAAATTGCACATCGCTACGTGGATTTATCAATAGTAGATAATGAAACTGACCGCTGTTACGCAGTTTATTTAACTGAAAATGGCCGGCGCTACGAATGACGTAGATGGCTAAACTGATCGACATTTCGTAGGTAATGAAACTGACTGCAGTATCTTATGTTATTAAATTAACGGTGGTTGTTCAGATAGTGAAAATGTGTTGGGATGATACGAGCATGACTGACGCGACGTAAACGAATCTGATTGACGCTGCGTAAACATGTTTCTGACAGATGTTAGGCAAAGATAGCTGCATCGTGGTGACAGCAGATATGAATAAATCATCTTGCCTTTGTTGAAATAAATATTCACACCTTTGGCCTACGTCTGTCTTATAGACTTTGTTAACGTAGTGAGAGCAACCTTCCTGAATTTTATTTATTGTCATTAACCTATCATGACCCATATAATAAAATTTAGTGTGGAAAGGTCAATGCTGTTTCTTCTGTGTTTATATGCTACAATAAGCAATTAATAAACCTGCTCACTCTAGTTCGTTTATAAATCTCTTGTCTATATACAATTTGATTATAATTACGAACTGTAATGAAATGATTACCTCCTTCATTCTGGAAACTTTACATCCTCCATTATCATTACATGTCGTAATGTCATCGTGAAAATGAACGTAACGATTGTATTGCATGGTAAGCTTACACGCAATATATTATATCATTATTTAATTTTATAGAAGAGAAATCAATTCAGTAATAATGTTTGCTATTCTCCATAATTCCAGATAAAGAACTTAACTGTCATTTATATATATAAAGCATACACATCAGTCAATATTCCTGTCCATTAGTCCAATAAATGGTATAGATATTTCTGAATCCGTTTGGATTTTATCACAAGTATTGGTTTCATGAATCAAATAATTCTTGTTTCCTTATTCAGATGTCTGTGTAAATGTACATGCCAATAATTAATCGTCCCCCCCCTTTGCACATAGATATTCGTTTAATTTAGTCTAACACACAAATATAACTGTATTTTTCAACTTTACTAAAAAGTAGAGAACGTTTTTTTTTAATTTGGAATTTACCCACGAACAGTCAAGATATCCATGAAATGTCTATTCCTTTGTAACATATAAATATTTAGATGGATACTATGTTGTGTTAAGTAACATATGAATTGCGCTTACGAGTGTGATTTAAGTCATGCTGTTTACAAAGGTTGTACACAATGTCACACAAGTTAGAAAATACATTTTAATACAGCTTAAGAGTTAGGTAGAGTAGAGCCAAAAAATGAATTAAATTACATCCTACAGCTGTTTTCCTTCTAGAACTTGTCAGTGATGCTAAGGACTAGGAGGCGGTTGGGGAAAATCTTAAGTAACAAACAAATGCTATACAAAAATCAATAAACACTTATAATGAGATAAAGGTAAATGTTTGGGTGTATTTCAAGTTAAGGGAAAAGATATGTATATCCACAAGGTAGTTGATGACTAGATACTTGGTAAGGTACAAAAGAATATATTTTTACTTAGTCATAGTTCACCGTTACACGTGCATTCAGTAATCAGCATTCACAATGCAACTGAGGACAAATATAAATGAGTTTCATTAAATGCTGCAACCCAGTGAATTGAATTCCTATGTATTGAATATTATTTTTTAAAAGGTTTATTCTTGAAAATACAACTTCATTTCATCAAGGTTTTGACAAAACTGCGAAAAATTTAACAGGAAATGAAAAATGCTTTCAACGAAGATATGTATCGTCATTTTAATTTTACTGCAAATGCCTTTTAATGATCAAAACCATTTTTTGAGAAACGGCTCGCGTGACATTTGCTTTAGGCAAAATTCAATGTATTACTTAAATATCCATAATTGTTATATTTCTGTAAACGTATTGAATTTGACGCAATCATATTTAAACGCATAATAACTTTTTTCCAAATTAGTACAATAATAAATGCTTAAATGTATGATTATTAGTATGTTAACAGCATTCAGAAACTCACAGCTTTTTAAGGCTAGAGTATTGAATAAAGTCTGATCCTAGTGTATCCACGTCATATTTGTATGGGATTAGGTCCCAAGCAAAGGATATATAGTGACTGATGAAGAGCGCTGAACTTCCGAGCACCTGCCGTCTCGTGACAACACTGTAAGGGGAATATGATTCAAGGGATGATAGCATCCCTACCTAAAGGGCTATTATAAGGACACTGAAATAATGACTTTTACCTCTTTATGGTACACCAACACAACCTTGTTTTACATGCAATTAATTTATACGAAAAGATAATAATGTAATGGATATATTTCACACCGTAATTAATTTGAATTGTAAAAACAAAGACTTGGTGTGTATACAGGTCCAAAGTCAGAAGCGTAATATATGAGCTGTTACAGACGTGACGAGCTCGGTGACCCAACATACATCACTCCGATTCATGGCTACGAACAAGATGGTGGATCGGTTGTTCGAAGTTGGAATTATTCTGTGTATTGTGATATTTCATCAATGTCAATCGAATTCACATTTTCGGAAACGTGGCCCGGTGTGGAAATCTGCGTCGGGAAACTCCGAGATAAACCCCGGAGGTGGCCCATTGAGCAACTTTGGGAACTATATACCTGCACCAACACCTAAACCGATCGTTCAAACACGAATTGTTTCTTCGGGGGAAGGCTTCCCCAAGCAAGGAAACAGCCAGACTATGGTGAGTGCACACAGTTAACAATTATTCCATAGTTTAGTTTGATTGCATATCATAAAGTATTTCTCAATAATTATGGACTTTCACCTGGAGAATATATTAAAATACATATAAAGGAAAAATATAATGACTGATGCGGAAACATGTACATATCACAGTTACCCACATATGTTTACAAAATATTCTAGATTTAGAAAAAACGTAAAATGGGAATGGTACCAGTGCAGTCATCAATGCTTACTTTGCATCTAATGAATTATTTCAAAGCACATTGTATATGTACTTGTGAATTACATGGAAAGCCCAATGTACTCATAAGTAGTTCGTTGTAAAAATTATGAAACAATGATGTGGAAAACTAGACATTCGTTATAGCAATCAAAATAAATGTTGCTTTATTAACGCTTTATTATAGCATCATTAAGAAACCAAGTGTCGACATTACAACGTTTACCTATCAACACTAGTGTTTACATATATTCCAAATGAATTATCAATTACGTGTGCCACACAGCAATAACTCCTCTATTCCACAATACATTACTATATCATCATATAAGGGAACACGACACATTTAATGATGAACCCCAGTCTGAACAAATGATTTAGTAGATGTTTTACATAATACTACTCATCCCCGAGGAACATCACTACCATTTTACATCGTACTTAAATATTCTGTTTCCAAATAAGTATGACACCTTGTTCTGAAACTTCCTTTAGTTTTTTCACCTGTTGTGATATTCACTCAACAAATCTTATAACTCTAGTTTAATATGTAGTTATCTACCTGTGTATATGCTGCGATCAAGACCAGACAAGTGTATGAAGTTAAATTATCCTTCATCTTTATTATGCACATTGACACATGCACATCATGCACATAGACCTATCCACGTCATGTATATATACCTATTCATAACATGCATATAGACTTATCCCAATAATGCACACAGACCTATTTACATCATACATATATACCTCACCATACCATGCACACAGACCTATTTACACCATACATATATATCTCACCATACCATGCACACAGACCTATTTACATCATACATATACCTCAACATACTATGCACACAGACTTATCAACATCATGCATATAGTACCGTTTAGAGACTTTTGCACACTAACAGATATACCTACCCACATCTTGCATATAGACCTATCCACATCATGCACAGCATATACACCTATCCACATGTACATATGCTTATCCACATCATGCATAAAAATATATACACATGATTATATGAGTAAATACTGAACCGGATCACTACTCGAATGAATTAAGCATATCAAACCATGATGTATTTTCTTTTTTTTTTGGTTTGGATATTGCTCTGATTTAAACAGTCTGATTGTAGGGAGGATCCAATCGGAGGGTCTTTATTTCCGCATCCGGATCAGGTTCGTCCCGCGAGGCACTGATGGAAAAAATGAAAAAATTGTTAAAAGAGCATCAGGAACGTATACAGAGGCAAGGTGGAAATGGGAAATTCGTCATTACTAGTCACACTTCCCACATAGGGGCTCCCCAGGTGTTCCTGGGGCCAGAAACTGTGCCAATGACACCAGCACCTCCGAAACAACCATACAAGAGTTCAAAGCCACTAACACCGTCTAAGTTTACTCCTCAGGAACAGGCAACACTTTTGCAGTACCATAATGACGTACGACAACACCTTAACCCTCCTCCAAAAATTATGGAACGTATGGTGAGTCACACGTTTGTTAAAAGCTTGTTTATATTAACAATAGAATGTGTTACATCAACTCTCTTATACAAGATCTTATAGGCATAATAAATAATATTCTGTGTACACATGTTTTCGGCAAATTATTTCTCTATGAGGAAAGCACAAAACCCACTTGCTAAGATGTCCGTGTTACCTTCTCAATTTTAAGACATTTTTTTTTGAAAATATCTGTTAAACGCAAATTTAACAGAACTAGGCTTTTAAAGCCATACATTTGCCTTTTTTATTCTTTAAAACTAGAAATCTTCTAGAATCTTCATTGGTTGCTTAACATCTAAGATCTTAACCAGTTTTTCTGTCTACATAACAAAGAGAAATTGTATTTTACTAGAATAATTCTGTAAACCGAATGGATAAACCAATGGATAAACCAATGGATAAACCAATGGATAAACCAATGGATAAATCAATGGATAAACCAATGGATAAACCAATGGATAAACCAATGGATAAACCAATGGATAAACCGAATGGATAAACCAATGGATAAACCGAATGGATAAACCGAATGGATAAACCAATGGATAAATCAATGGATAAATCAATGGATAAACCAATGGATAAACCAATGGATAAACCAATGGATAAACCAATGGATAAACCGAATGGATAAACCAATGGATAAACCAATGGATAAACCAATGGATAAACCAATGGATAAACCAATGGATAAACCAATGGATAAACCAATGGATAAACCAATGGATAAACCAATGGATAAACCAATGGATAAACCAATGGATAAACCAATGGATAAACCAATGGATAAACCGAATGTATTATTTTTGGCCCTAAAATAAAATTGGATAAAGCAACAAATATGAATTTTAAAATATCTTGCAATAATCATGACATTGAAGTTATGAAGTGTTTAAAATATCTTGGTATAGACGTTAACGATTTGCTATCAGGTGAAGAAATTGTAGATTCCATTGTTAAAAAAGTAAATCAACGACTAAAATTTCTCTACAGAAACGAGCAATGTCTATCGTATAGGTCGAGAAAAACTCATTGCTCGGCATTGATTCTTTGTCATTTCGACTATGCCAGTGCTGGTTGGTATGAAGGTTTGTAAAAAAAACTTAAATCTAAATTACAGGTAGCACAAAACAAAGTAATAAGATTTATTTTGAATGTTCAAAATAGGCACAGTAAAAGATGCAGTGATTTTTTGCGTACAAACATGTTAGACATCAATTATAGGGTTAGTCAGAATGAATCATATGATTAATGTTTTCCATGAAAAGGCTCCAAACTATATGTATATTTCCTTTAACAAGAATCCTTGTCTACAAAACACTCTATCCTCGGCATATAATTTCAGTCTCCCATCAGTACAAGGTAAAGAATCTACAACATTCTACTTTACAGGCGCAAAAGAATGGAATTGTCTTCCAGATTATATTAATAGTATACCAAACAAGCTTAAGTTAAAAATCCAAGTGAAACGTCACTTTCAAAACAAAATGAAAGAGAAACATGATACCTATTATGTATATTATTTATGGAAATACATTTGTAAAACCATTTTAAGGACCCCAATGGAAATATGCGTTTCAACGCCTTTTTGGGAAATCCTAGGATATATGTACTTTTGTCTTTATTTATAAACATCACTTGCTGATACATTAAAGATGTAGCAAACAACTTATTCATGATTATGTATAACATGTTATATGTGCCATATATTAATATGTTTTGTATACAAATCTGCACATCTTTATCCTGAATAAATTTATTATTATTATTCTGTCATTTTGATATTCAGATTGTCAGTATACTGTTGAAACCTCGTTAAAAGCATTTATACATTATTGCTACTATCATGTTAAATGCTATTTATTATATTGTAGTCAGATTATTCAGATTCAAATAATGTCACCATATTAATGTAACGAAAGAAGGTGTAAATTCTACAAAGTAAGCATTAGTGATAGAGCAGGTGAATCATCAAAGACACAAACACGTCAAATCATATATTATGAAATATGGTAATTACTGTGAACTGATTTGTAATATTACTCTTTAATTGAAGCATATTACGTTATTGATAAACACTTTAATGTTTTCTAATGTAATCGGGTTTTCCCAGATTCAAATAGTTTCATCGTATAAATGTAACGAAAGAAGGTAGATTGTGTAGGTAAATCATCAAAGATACAAAAATCATCAAGGTATAAACCATGAAATATGGTGTTATTGTGAACTGATATGTAATAGTACTGTTTAACTGTAGCAATGGAGTGATGTACTAGCAGGAAAGGCTCAGGAGTATGCTGAGAGGTGTGAGTGGCAACACAGTGACAAGTCAGGACGGAGGAATAAATTAGGTTACCGCTTTGTCGGGGAAAACCTATACATATCCACGGGTAAGTAGGGTACATATGTTCCTGTCTGTCACTGGAAAGTTACATCGGTAACAATACATCCTAGTAATATTTATATTATGTTGTATATAGACTTTATCATACATGTTTTCCTACTAATAACTTCATCAGTCACGCATGCTGAAGAGGCCACCTTTTCCAAACCAATTACGTGTCGTTTATCGGAAGCGTCTTTTGACACGAGAAAGGGAGAGTGATTGTAACCTACTACCAGTACATTACAGATGAGTTATGTATAATTGGTATCAGGAGAACGTTTGGTTTTGTCTTGAAGATATACTGCTAAAGTAATCATTTTTCAACTTATCGTTGTTTTCGTGGATAGATAAAATCGCGTAAATAGAATTATTTTTTCTTACCAAAATACTGTATAATCAAAAGAAATATAATCACTGCAGACAGTACTGTAAAATCATATTTCTATGGGAAAATCATCATTGTCGTTGGCACTTAATTTCATGGATAAATCTCGCTCACAAAATCCACAAATATTCTATTCCGTGTCAACTTTTATCAGTTTATCATTTCGTAGGCATATAAATTCGTGGAGTTTAAGTACCCACAAATTAAGCGAAAATAAATCAGTAACGAATATTAATAAATTTTACAGTGTAAATTTGGAAAGAACGTTTTAAAACGCTTCACATTTATACAACACCGATAACTAAATACGATAAATAGTATTATCGACAATGGTATATTTTTTCTCCTCTCATGCATGGTTTACATCTCACGCCTGCTTATCACATTATTGTATGCTTATCCGATATGTAAATAAATCGGTGAGATTATCCACATTGTATGTGTTTGGATGTTACGGGAGACAGCATTCAGAAAATGATATTTCGCTGTTACATATGGCGATATCTCGTGTCACAAAGTTCACATGTGTTGGATCGAGACAAATGCAATACATACATACATGGTAGTGTGGGTTTATATAATCACAAAATGCTTTATAAAATCCGTCTTTTGTTAGTATCTATATGCTTACCGTGCCTTTATACTTCACTACATATGGATGCCTTCATCTACAAATAATTAAAACTATTCATGTTTATGTAATACATTTGATCAGAAATATCTTATATGATATTAGAAGATATGTGTACATCAAAAGTCCGAATATGTCAACAATATTAAAATTCATGGTGTTAACATTAGGGTCGAATTCTATACAATTTCTGTGAAATAAATGTAAGAAAAAATAGTAGAAGTGTTTCATAATCGTCTTAATACTTATGTTAATAAATAGAACAATACAAACAGCTTCACGTGAACTACATTTATATAAAAAGAGTTCAGAATGGACATTTCTCAAATATTTATGAACAATCCTTAAATAATTTCTATCGGAAAAGATTACTTCCTCGGTAGAAAATTACATACCAAAATGGATTAGGGTTAACAAACAGAAAACAATAACCATAACACTGACATCCATTACAGCGTACGGCGTGACGAAAAGCGTGAAGAGCTGGGCAGACGAAAAGGCGTACTACGATTACTGGGCAAATACCTGTGTCCCTGGTCAACAATGTGGGCATTATACACAGGTAATATGTCCCTGGTCAACAATGTGGGCACTATACACAGGTAATATGTCCCTGGTCAACAATGTGGGCATTATACACAGGTAATATGTCCCTGGTCAACAATGTGGGCATTATACACAGGTAATATGTCCCTGGTCAACAATGTGGGCATTATACACAGGTAATATGTCCCTGGTCAACAATGTGGGCATTATACACAGGTAATATGTCCCTGGTCAACAATGTGGGCATTATACACAGGTAATATGTCCCTGGTCAACAATGTGGGCATTATACACAGGTAATATGTCCCTGGTCAACAATGTGGGCATTATACACAGGTAATATGTCCCTGGTCAACAATGTGGGCACTATACACAGGTAATATGTCCCTGGTCAACTATGTGGGCACTATACACAGGTAATATATCCCTGGTCAAAAGTGAGGGCACTATACACAGGTAATATGTCCCTGGTCAACTATGTGGGCACTAAACACAAGTAATATGTCACTGGTCAAAAGTGAGGGCACTATACACATGTAATATGTCCCTGGTCAACAGTGTGGGCACTATACACAGGTATTATGTCCCTGATCAACAATGTGGGCACTATACACAGGAAATATGTCTCTGGTCAACAGTGTGGGCAATATACACAGGTAATATGTCCCTGGTCAATTGCGTGGGTACTATACACAGGTAATATATCACTGGTCAATTGCGTGGTTACTATACACTGGTAATATACCAGGCTTTAAAAGTGTGGACACTTTACATAGGTTATATATTGGCTACACCAGTTTGGACACTTTACATAGGTTATAGACCGGCTACACCAGTTTGGACACTTTACATAGGTTATATACCGGCTACACCAGTTTGGACACTTTACATAGGTTATATACCGGCTACACCAGTTTGGACACTCTACATAGGTTATATACCGGCTACACCAGTTTGGACACTCTACATAGGTTATATACCAGGCTACAATAGTGTGGACACTATACACAATTGATACTCCAGGCTATAGATAAGTCAAAACAAAGCAGTCTATGACACACACCTCTCAAATGAACTAAAAGCTACTACTCCGAAAACAAAAAGAGAAAAGAAAAACACAAAATTGTATTTTTCTATGTTTGTATCTAATTTGGCTTGTTGTGCAGTCAGAGCCTTGCCCAAACTTTTGTATTAATATCATTAAATCACTTTGTTATCATCACATATATTATCATTGGAATCATCTTTCCTGATAAAGGCGAATGTCATTAAAAACAGCGTTCTTGAAAAGAACAACAACCGTCAAAGTGAAATATAATGTTGAGGACATGAGATCGATAGAAGGTATGTCTAAGTGCTGGTCTATTGGTTGACTATTTTTTTCTTTCCTTTTTTTTCTTGAGAGGATTAATTTATCGAAGAAGTTATCAGGACATAAAACAAGGACATTCCCAGGTTTATCAAATTCAGAAAGACGACTTTCTTCTTTTTAAGGATGTATTGAAGTCCTGTTTGGCCGGAATTAGGACATAAGTCAATATAAAATAAATACCAACGTAATGGACTTTTGTGGGTTTTTTTAACACTTTGTTATATTTGTGTTAAAAGCTACAACGGAGCGCTTGATATAACAATTTGTAACTTTGTTACTTGAGGGCTATATTTTGTGATGGCGTAGTTAGTGCTGTCAATCGGCTTTAGTGGTTCTTGGGTAGAATTCAACACACTATTGTATACATTTAAGAAATTTGCTGGACAAAGATCGCCTCGAAGATAATAAAAAATGCCTGCTATTCATGAAAAATGAAAAACATCAATTCGAAAAATCAACACTTCTAAATAAGTGAAACATTATTTTTTGTTTTTAAATTACTTTCTATCTCCTAACCGTTTAAGAATTATCACCAAAGCCAAGGTTAAATCTGACCTTAATACAATCTTAAAGAATAAAAAAAAATATTGTCCACTTCGATTGTGGATAATTTTCCGATCAATAGTCGCTTAAATCGATCTCATAACTTAATCTAAAAGGAACACTTCCATTAAACGTGATGCTTGCGAGGTTCCTGTGGTGACTATTCGACTCATCGAAGTGAAAATGACAGCCTACACAAGTGTAGTACTGTACTCAAACGCCTGCTTTTAGTATCAGACTTACAATATTTCGAGAGATGTGAGTTATTTTGGACGATTGGAAGTTTTTATCAAGAACATCACGATCTCACTGTTGAATATTGTTTCTTTGATCAAAATGTTTCATAAAGTTTCGTCGTCATTTTCCCGATTGCCATTTTAAGAGTGCTTTTCCAATGGTATATAAACGAGGGGAGGTCTGATCACGAGAACACATTGACTTTCAGATGATCTGGGCTACAACAAACATGGTAGGCTGTGGAATCCATTTCTGTCGAAAAGTAGCATTCTGGAGACGAGGTGACGCCTATTATGTCGTCTGTAACTACGGACCTGGGTAAGACATGGAGGATATTTAGTAGTCTTTATTTTTGAAAATGCTGTTCATTATTCTGTTTACTACGCTGTTATTTTGAAGTATTTTTTCCATCTGATTAAAAGCACCATTACACGCTACTTAATGACGTAAAGTATTATTATGATTTGTATTTTAATCAATTTGGTAGTTGAATATTCGCTTTTTCGATTGTTTTGGGGTTAAGTCTTCGAAAGTGTTATTTCATTACAGTAAACAATAACACTTTTATCCATAAGATATTCTTCTATATTGCTGTTGAAAGAAAAAAAGTCTGATGAATTTTAAGTGATTTTAACGTTTGCCGTAATTATGTAGTCGGTGCGAAGCGTACTTTTGAAAGAACACATTTATATTGAATATCTTATCATCCTTGGTGTTTTATTGATTAATTATTTTGTTTGAAGATCTTTTATAACATAAAAAGCCAATTTTATATTGCCATTCCAGCGGAAATATTAATGGAGCACGACCATATGAGGCGAAAACGGGCGGAAATAGTCGAACAAATGGTTCTGTTAAAAATAATCGAGACGAGGGGGTTTCTAGTAACAGATGGAAAAGTGTTAGTGGTACGGGTAAACAACAGGTCGTCAGTGGATCAGGTAGTTCTGGAAATACCGTTATAACACGTACCAAGAGTAGGACAAGCAGTAGGACTAGCCGGAGAAAGTCTACCAGAAGGAGGACACGGTCACGTCGTCGCCGTCGCTCACCCGTTTAATGACTCATGTGGTTAGGCTGTTTTCTCCTCGGAATCCATCTGATATTTTCGTAAGGATGACGCATTGATTTATGTAAATGTAAAGATAAATTAATTACAGGTAGCAGTACAATTTCTTTATCATGGCAAATTCTAATGTCTAGCACCTTAATCTTGGTTCTTTCTTTACCATTTCGGTAGAATCAAACTTATTTCATTTTCAATTCAATAGCAGTTGGAACAGATTTTAAAGATCAAAGGACGTGACATAGTAGTTACGGAAATGTACACAGAATTAGCAGATTAAGAAACAAATGGCAATTTTTACTTCCTCGTTTCCTTTTGTTGTCGAGAGTAAAAACCGATAATGTCTTAATCCAAAACGTTAAATATTGACCACGAAATTAATTCAGTACATTGAAGGTCAGTTCCAGTAAGTTCACGTACCGTTCATTTCTAGTAAACGATAGTATTCAGATCTAAATGTAGGGGAAATGTGAAGACATTTGTTGGGTTGATCGATTTAATGCTGAACAGATACAAAATTGAGAGTATGAAATGTCGTTTGATAACAAAAACATGTCCTAACCATTGATCCAACCCTCCTATGTGTTAGAAGAGAAATGCTGTGCCTATAGATTATTTGGATTTTCAATACATCCTTTTTTTAGATAAAACTAGATAAAAGAATGACAAAAGTCAATAAAAGATAACATTTCTCTATAGAAGGGAGAATATTGCAAGAGATAATTCAGAATCCGTAACCCTGCTTCTTCGTTGCAATGATATCTGAAATATTAATATATGAGTTGATGAGTATTGTTAATATGTGATTCAATAGACAGTATATACCGGGTTTATATTTTTAGAAAGGTTGAGAGATTTCCGGGAAAAATAAGACTAAATAAACAATAAAGAAGTGACATAAGATCGTTCGCATTTTATTTGTTAGAATTACATATTTATATCATTGTATTTACAATCACTGTTTTTGTAATACGTCATGTGAATTTCAACATGCCCTGTAAATATGCTAAGCAAATGTATCTTTAAGTGGATGATAGGGGGAAACTAGCACTTTACAGTGAATCCGCGATAATCCGGACGCCGATAGCCCGGAAAACTCACATTCTGTACATATTACCTCATTTGTAAGGCAAATGAAGCTTGAGATAAGATGTTGGTAATGGTCTTTCTATAACTAAGAAATGGTATTGGACCAATAAATGGTTGGGTTCGCAAGCATGAAAAGGGCCACGGGTGAGGTGGGTAAAATAACTTCAATTGTAAAGTGCAACACGCTGCAATGGCGCCCTTCTGCTAAAAGTATGCAGAAAGGTAACAGGAAGTCACTTCCAGGCGCTCTTCATTTTTGCTGCCAAAGAAAGTTCTTGCATGTGGACTGCATTGATGTTTGACTCGTTTGACCGGATGTTTTGTTATGCCGATCGCTTTCTGTCAGACATGTCTTTCAGTAACTATAGACAGGATTCTGCTGCACAGTGTAACATGCTGAAATGGCGCCGTCTTGCTTAAAAAATATACCACTGTTATGTAATCAAAGGAATAACTCCGGTAGATTGGCTGAACTCGGCAGTCCAGAAAACTCGCAATCCGGGCGATTTTATACGGGAACGAAGATTTCCGAATTACTGAGGGTCCACTTTAAGTTTGTTCAGATTATCTAGAAAGATGTGTGATTTAAGCTACAGTGAATGCCATCCAGCGTGTGACCATTATGATGCCAGTATTGAGGTTTGGTTTGGTTTGATATCACTCCTATAAACAGCTAGATCAAACTGGGATGCCTTCCAGAAGTTATCAGGACGTATCAGCGAAATGAGCGCATTGCGTCGAGTGTATGTGGTTTAGAGAACTAGTACGATAAGTACGAGTAAAACTCCCTATGATATCGCGGAAATGATGTCAACTTCATAATGCTACCACACTGGAGTTTACTGCTGAAGACATTCAACCGGACACTCGGTTGGCATTGTACTGCTATTGTTAACATCCACAATGCTGAGAGTAAAACCGTTCGCAGGGAATAGAAACCACCAGAACTATAGGCCTTCCTCGAGTGACCAAAGTCAATTCTAAAGTGACACGGTGCTGGGGAGATGGTGTAAGAGAGCGAGTATGATCATTACGACTCATCTTCAAAGCAGCAGCATTGTGGGAACAGAAACAGCGACGGTTAGTCGTCCAAACGGCGGTTCCATTCTCCGCTTTCGTTAATGACTTATTAATGAGTTTAGTTTCAGTCTACTAAAACTAGGGGAGAGCACTGCACCACAATTAGAGGAGGTAAAAATAAGAAATGAACTGTCGTGTTATGACATTAATGGCTGAAATGAATGACAGAGTTTTGCAGGCGAGCAAACCATTTTGCCAAGTATCGTATTTGCATTTTACCGACTATAAATACCATGACAAGAAAGCTTAATGCTTAATAACAGCAAATAAAAACACATGTATCAATATCAATAAGACTTGGCTCCCAGCAAATTGGCTGTTAGCAAAACGTGCATAGATCGTTCGATCTTCATTTCTGTAAAAATAAACTTAAATAGACACGTAATTTTAAATTAAGAGATTTGTTAAAGCTGTAGCAATATCCAAAAATTGCATTAAAAGCGAAACCAACAGACTAGATGACAGATTCTACGTACAAACGATACCTACAGACTAAATATCAGACACTAGGTACAAACGATACCTAGACTAAATATCAGACACCATGTACAAACGATACCTACAGACTATCAGACACCAGGTACAAACGATACCTACAGACTATCAGACACCAGGTACAAACGATACCTACAGACTATCAGACACCAGGTACAAACGATACCTACAGACTAAATATTAGACACCAGGTACAAACGATACCTACAGACTATCAGACACCAGGTACAAACGATACCTACAGACTAAATATTAGATACCAGGTACAAACGATACCTACAGACAATCAGACACCAGGTACAAACGATACCTACAGACTTTCAGACATCAGGTACAAACGATATCTACAGACTATATCAGACACCAGGTACAAACGATACCTACAGACTTTCAGACACCAGGTACAAACGATACCTACAGACTAAATATTAGATACCAGGTACAAACGATACCTACAGACTATCAGACACCAGGTACAAACGATACCTACAGACTATCAGACACCAGGTACAAACGATACCTACAGACTAAATATTAGATACCAGGTACAAACGATACCTACAGACTATCAGACACCAGGTACAAACGATACCTACAGACTTTCAGACACCAGGTACAAACGATATCTACAGACTATATCAGACACCAGGTACAAACGATACCTACAGACTAAATATTAGATACCAGGTACTAACGATACCTACAGACTATCAGACACCAGGTACAAACGATACCTAGAGACTATCAGACACCAGGTACAAACGATACCTACAGACTAAATATTAGACACCAGGTACAAACGATACCTACAGACTAAATATTAGAAACCAGGTACAAACGATACCTACAGACTATCAGACACCAGGTACAAACGATACCTACAGACTATCAGACACCAGGTACAAACGATACCTACAGACTATCAAACCCCAGGTACAAACGATACCTAAAGACTATCAGACACCAGGTACAAACGATACCTACAGACTATCAGATACCAGGAACAAACGATATCTACAGACTAAATATAAGACACCAGGTACAAACGATACCTACAGACTATCAGACACCAGGTACAAACGATACCTACAGACTAAATATTAGATACCAGGTAAAAAAGATACCTACAGACTATCAGACTCCAGGTACAAACGATACCTACAGACTAAATATTAGATACCAGGTACAAACGATACCTACAGACTATCAGACACCAGGTACAAACGATACCTACAGACTAAATATAAGACACCAGGTACAAACGATACCTACAGACTATCAGACACCAGGTACAAACGATACCTACAGACTAAATATTAGATACCAGGTACAAACGATACCTACAGACAATCAGACACCAGGTACAAACGATACCTACAGACTATTCAGACACCAGGTACAAACGATACCTACAGACTATCAGACACCAGGTACAAACGATACCTACAGACTCTCAGACACCAGGGACAAACGAGACCTACAGATTTAATATCAGACACCAGGTACAAACGATACCTACAGACTAAATATCAGACACCAGGTACAAACGATACCTACAGACTATCAGACACCAGGTACAAACGATACCTACAGACTATCAGACACCAGGTACAAACGATACCTACAGACTATCAGACACCAGGTACAAACGATACCTACAGACTATCAAACCCCAGGTACAAACGATACCTAAAGACTATCAGACACCAGGTACAAACGATACCTACAGACTATCAGATACCAGGAACAAACGATACCTACAGACTAAATATAAGACACCAGGTACAAACGATACCTACAGACTATCAGACACCAGGTACAAACGATACCTACAGACTAAATATAGATACCAGGTACAGATACTAAATATTAGATACGAGGTAAAAAAGATACCTACAGACTATCAGACTCCAGGTACAAACGATACCTACAGACTAAATATTAGATACCAAGTACAAACGATACCTACAGACTATCAGACACCAGGTACAAACGATACCTACAGACTAAATATAAGACACCAGGTACAAACGATACCTACAGACTATCAGACACCAGGTACAAACGATACCTACAGACTAAATATTAGATACCAGGTACAAACGATACCTACAGACGATATCAGACACCAGGTACAAACGATACCTACAGACTTCAGACAGACTATTCAGGACACCAGGTACAAACGATACCTACATACTATCAGACAAACGATGCCTACAATAACAGACACCGAACAAACTATACCTACAGACTAAATATAAGACACCAGGTACAAACGATACCTACAGACTATCAGACACCAGGTACAAACGATACCTACAGACTATCAGACACCAGGTACAAACGATACCTACAGACTAAATATTAGACACCAGGTACAAACGATACCTACAGACTATCAGACACCAGGTACAAACGATACCTACAGACTATCAGACACCAGGTACAAACGATACCTACAGACTAAATATAAGACACCAGGTACAAACGATACCTACAGACTATCAGACACCAGGTACAAACGATACCTACAGACTATCAGACACCAGGTACAAACGATACCTACAGACTATCAGACACCAGGTACAAACGATACCTACAGACTATCAGACACCAGGTACAAACGATACCTACAGACTAAATATTAGATACCAGGTACAAACGATACCTACAGACAATCAGACACCAGGTACAAACGATACCTACAGACTATCAGACACCAGGTACAAACGATATCTACAGACTAAATATCAGACACCAGGTACAAACGATACCTACAGACTATCAGACACCAGGTACAAACGATACCTACAGACTATCAGATACCAGGAACAAACGATGCCTACAGACTATCAGACACCAGGTACAAACGATGCCTACAGACTATCAGACACCAGGTACAAACGATACCTACAGACTAAATATTAGATACCAGGTAAAAAAGATACCTACAGACTATCAGACACCAGGTACAAACGATACCTACAGACTAAATATTAGATACCAAGTACAAACGATACCTACCTACAGACTATCAGACACCAGGTACAAACGATACCTACAGACTAAATATTAGACACCAGGTACAAACGATACCTACAGACTAAATATTAGAAACAGACTAAATATTAGATACCAGGTAAAAAAGATACCTACAGACTATCAGACTCCAGGTACAAACGATACCTACAGACTAAATATTAGATACCAGGTACAAACGATACCTACAGACTATCAGACACCAGGTACAAACGATATACCTACAGACAGGTACAAACGATATCTATCAGACACCAGGTACAAACGATATACCTACAGACTATCAGACACCAGGTACAAACGATACCTACAGACTAAATATCAGACACCAGGTACAAACGATACCTACAGACTATCAGACACCAGGTACAAACGATACCTACAGACTATCAGACACCAGGTACAAACGATACCTACAGACTATCAGACACCAGGTACAAACGATACCTACAGACTATCAGACACCACGTACAAACGATACCTACAGACTAAATATCAGACACCAGGATACAGAACCAGGTACAAACGATACCTACAGACTAAATATCAGACACCAGGTACAAACGATACCTACAGACTACCTACAGACCAGGTACAAACGATACCTACAGACTATCAGACACCAGGTACAAACGATACCTACAGACTAAATCAGACACCAGGTACAAACGATACCTACAGACTATCAGACACCAGGTACAAACGATACCTACAGACACCAGGTACAAACGATACCTACAGACTATCAGACACCAGGTACAAACGATACCTACAGATTAAATATCAGACACCAGGTACAAACGATACCTACAGATTATCAGACACCAGGTACAAACGATACCTACAGACTATCAGACACCAGGTACAAACGATACCTACAGACTATTTAAGACACCAGGTACAAACGATACCTACAGACTATCAGACACCAGGTACAAACGATACCTACAGACTAAATATTAGATACCAGGTACAAACGATACCTACAGACTATCAGACACCAGATACAAACGATACCTACAGACTATCAGACACCAGGTACAAACGATACCTACAGACTAAATATTAGATACCAGGTACAAACGATACCTACAGACTATCAGACACCAGGTACAAACGATACCTACAGACTATCAGACACCAGGTACAAACGATACCTACAGACTATCAGACACCAGGTACAAACGATACCTACAGACTATCAGACACCAGGTACAAACGATACCTACAGATATCAGACACCTACAGATACTAAATATCAGACACCAGGTACAAACGATACCTACAGACTATCAGACACCAGGTACAAACGATACCTACAGACTAAATATACCAGGTACAAACGATACCTACAGACTATCAGACACCAGGTACAAACGATACCTACAGACAGGTACAAAATATACAGACTAAATATTAGACACCAGGTACAAACGATACCTACAGACCAGACACCAGGTACAAACGATACCTACAGACGATACCTACAGATATCAGACACCAGGTACAAACGATACCTACAGACTATCAGACACCAGGTACAAACAGACTAAATATTAGATACCAGGTACAAACGATACTACAGATATCAGACACCAGGTACAAACGATACCTACAGACTTTCAGACACCAGGTACAAACGATACCTACAGACTATATGATACAAGGAACAAAAGATATCTACAGACTAAATATAAGACACCAGGTACAAACGATACCTACAGACTAAATATAAGATTCAAGAAACGATCGATACCTACAGACTATCAGACACCAGATACAAACGATACCTACAGACTATCAGACACCAGGTACAAACGATACCTACAGACTAAATATTAGACACCAGGTACAAACGATACCTACAGACTAAATATTAGAAACCAGGTACAAACGATACCTACAGACTATCAGACACCAGGTACAAACGATACCTACAGACTATCAGACACCAGGTACAAACGATACCTACAGACTATCAAACCCCAGGTACAAACGATACCTAAAGACTATCAGACACCAGGTACAAACGATACCTACAGACTATCAGATACCAGGAACAAACGATATCTACAGACTAAATATAAGACACCAGGTACAAACGATACCTACAGACTATCAGACACCAGGTACAAACGATACCTACAGACTAAATATTAGATACCAGGTACAAACGATACCTACAGACAATCAGACACCAGGTACAAACGATACCTACAGACTTTCAGACACCAGGTACAAACGATATCTACAGACTATATCAGACACCAGGTACAAACGATACCTACAGACTAAATATTAGATACCAGGTACAAACGATACCTACAGACTATCAGACACCAGGTACAAACGATACCTACAGACTATCAGACACCAGGTACAAACGATACCTACAGACTAAATATTAGATACCAGGTACAAACGATACCTATCAGACAGACTATACAGACTATCAGACACCAGGTACAAACGATACCTACAGACTATCAGACACCAGGTATGCCTACAGACTATCAGACACCAGGTACAAACGATACCTACAGACTATCAGATACCAGGAACAAACGATACCTACAGACTATCAGACACCAGGTACAAACGATACCTACAGATTAAATATCAGACACCAGGTACAAACGATACCTACAGACTATCAGACACCAGGTACAAACGATACCTACAGACTATCAGACACCAGGTACAAACGATGCCTACAGACTAAATATTAGACACCAGGTACAAACGATACCTACAGACTATCAGATACCAGGAACAAACGATATCTACAGACTAAATATACTATCAGACACCAGGTACAAACGATACCTACAGACTATCAGACACCAGGTACAAACGATACCTACAGACTAAATATTAGATACCAGGTACAAACGATACCTACAGACAATCAGACACCAGGTACAAACGATACCTACAGACTTTCAGACACCAGGTACAAACGATATCTACAGACTATATCAGACACCAGGTACAAACGATACCTACAGGCTATCAGACACCAGGTACAAACGATACCTACAGACTAAATATTAGATACCAGGTACAAACGATACCTGCAGACTATCAGACACCAGGTACAAACGATACATACAGACTATCAGACACCAGGTACAAACGATACCTACAGACTAAATATTAGATACCAGGTACAAACGATACCTACAGACTATCAGACACCACGTACAAACGATACCTACAGACTATCAGATACCAGGAACAAACGATGCCTACAGACTATCAGACACCAGGTACAAACGATGCCTACAGACTATCAGACACCAGGTACAAACGATACCTACAGACTATCAGATACCAGGAACAAACGATACCTACAGACTATCAGACACCAGGTACAAACGATACCTACAGATTAAATATCAGACACCAGGTACAAACGATACCTACAGACTATCAGACACCAGGTACAAACGATACCTACAGACTATCAGACACCAGGTACAAACGATACCTACAGATTAAATATCAGACACCAGGTACAAACGATACCTACAGACTATCAGACACCAGGTACAAACGATGCCTACAGACTATCAGACACCAGGTACAAACGATACCTACCGACTAACAGACACCAGGTACAAATGACACATACATACTTAATATCAGACACCAGGTACAAACTGTGTCTGAAGATTACCTAATATATATACAAATGATACATAGAAAAAGACAAAACGAAGACTTGGAATAACTCGGGTCCCAGCTGAGCGTCGAACCGTTTTTTCATGGCGTTGGCATTGTAAAGCTTGATAAGGGAGACGAAACGCTTTCCTTCTCCAACAAGAAAAGCGCTTTCGTGATGAAGATCACATTATTTACAACATGGACGAACGAGAATCAGAGCTATTGAACAAGCTTGAGAGCTTGAAGGAAGTTCGGTAAGGTTATTGCAAGGGTTACATAAATATAGGTTGTAAATATATACATGCTTACTGAAATGCGCTTTTATAAGTCGTATAAGAAAATTTCTTGTCAAAATCCCACTATTTGACTAATCCTTTACAGCTAATCCCCCCCGCCCGCAAACATAATAGTAAAAACAAAATATGTCAGTGCACAATTCTGCACGCCGTTCGTAAATAATAAAAAGGAGTGAAACAACTTAAGATGCTCGTCTTTTCAGATATTAGTATAGTAATCATGCTCGTATTTTACCGGTAATATCGCTGAATATTGACGAGTCGGACAAGTCGAGACTAATGTCGGTGGGATGGTTTGCCTATTACAAAGAAACATCCAAATACATTCCCAGATTCTTGTAAGAATCGAGACAACAAAACAAATATGTCGTTTTTATTTCCTGAACCTAGAGTCGTACATTCGATGGCTGACTGTTGGTTTATTGGAAGGGGAGTAACTCCAGATCTATTGGGCTTACATTTCACAATATTTCTACCTTGTGATCTTGAAAGCAATACATAAGTATCTAGGTTAGTATGTATTCTGTGTGTACATAATGAAATAAAATGTAAGAAACAGGTTGATTGTGTAACCCTGGTAAAATACTAGCCACAAAATACGGTATGGCTATAGAGAGAACTTCTCTTTAGCTCGATTTGTTGAGCGTCAGACTAGTAAGCAAGAGGTCCAGGGTTCAAATCCTAGGGGAGGAACTGAAATGGGTAATGACCTCTGTTACATTAGCCCCCATGTAGGGAGTTGGGAATGATACTTAACAATACTTTACAAGCATTACTGTAACCCCTTGAAATTTGAGGCTGAGTTCATCTTGGGAAGGGAAGTGTGTAAATCCTGGTAAAATACTAGCCAAAAATACCACTTGGCTAGAGCTGTAGCACGATTGGTTGAGCATCAGAATAGCCAGCCATAGGTCCTGGGTTCAAATCCTAGTAGAGGCAATAAAATAAATAATGACCTCCGTTACTTTTCTATTACAGACTTCGATACATAGATACATATTGAAGTCAGTGATTGTATTTACTTTTGTTCGGTCAATTACATCAGGAATGTATAATGAAAGGACTACTATAGGTTTATATGAATATTAGCAACACTCTAAAACCACAGGGCATAGGCTTTATGGGTAAATGTAGGGAAAGAGGTGAATCCTGTCAATCATTGAGCATGCACATATACAGTATACTTGTTGGCTACCAACACAAATCTGTGACAGGAGTATAGATAAATTTGATCCTATCGCGCAGGCAGATGTGCTTAACATCAAATATTCATATTGCAGTAAATACATTTCTGTACAAAGGTATATTAACAAGAAACAAATCTCACTGGTTCCGATTCTAGTTAGAAATAGTGATATACCATATTTTCAGGTTGAGTTGTGCCAAATTTTAGCGATTTTTTTTTTTCCATTTGATCCACATATTCACCACACTGGAGTAAAAGCCCCACTGTTTCTGATGCTATGGTAGCCATTTGACCAAAGTTTGTCAGTGAGAAATCTTTTTAATTTTCATACACATATTTTAAATGTATTATAACTACAATGAAAACACAAGTGCTTTACAAACAAACATACATGGTTCCTCTGAATGCATGTGATGACCACTATGTGTTATGGTAACTCTATGTGACTCAGCAAATAAGTTATAATATTAATATTATTATTATAATATCACTAACTTGTGCCTTGTCACATTTTTTTATGCATTAGGACCAGGGATGAATGTTATCAATTTTAGTGCCTTACATTTTCATCTTTTCATTCAAATTCCTTTTCCTGCAATTACTGATATACGTCAGTTTTGTTTAATTTCTGTAATGTTTCACTTTCAATTTCTCTCCATTCTTCTTGCATTGTTTTCTTTCGTACCTGAAAGCATGGCTTATTTGCAAATGATCTTTGTATATAAGGCATGTATATACATTTCTAGCCTACAATATTATAATCCATGATGTGACGAGGAAAACAAATTCATGTGTATGTACTGTCACATTAACGGCAGGTTGAAGTGAATATAGCAGTGTGTGAATGTGCTACTTTGATTGAACTCGGTACCCCTCTGTAGCTAACATACACGGATCTAAATTTTCGCAGCAGGTTAAAGACAAACATAATTATGGATTTTAGACTACCATTTATCCAAAAGTTTCACTTGTAAATCTGAATTTGATGATTTGATCCCCATTGATGGATTGGTGATAGAATGGTTTGTGTAGGGATAGTGAGTTGCTATTTCTCTGACAGTGTAATTTCCCACATTGTGCTTTTCTTCCCTCCTCCGTCAATAAAGACAATGAATTTTCTCTCAGGGTTTGGAACTCTTATCATGTCTATCATCGTATCATCATGTATACATAAGGTATTTGGAAATTTTGGATTTCTTAACCTCTGTGCAGTGAAACTTTTGTACAGCAGCATGCAAGATAATCTTGATTGATATATATGTATTAGGGACAGTTTGAATGTGTTTCGTCATGAAATATTTAAATTATAAAATCAAATCTTTTAGTATAAATACATTATATATGTGAAATTATATATAATACATTAAAGAATTGGAAACTTCCTTTTTCAGATCCCGATCCATGCAGCTAGAAAAGGTGCGATCGAGGTTACGTCAAGAGTTGGAAACCACAGACACTGAAGAAAAGAGGCTCGATGAATATCGTCAAGAAATGGAACTCCTGTTGCAGGAGAAGATGGCCCATGTTGAAGAGCTTCGACTTATACATGCTGATATAAATTTGGTAGGTACATCTCAAATTATATTGTTCTTGGTTTCAGTTTTGTTTCTGTATAAAGAAAGTTTCTGTGTTGATAAAAGTAAAATTTTGAGAATTGACTGAATAAACTGAGAAACAAATTTTGGTAGTTTTCAAGTTAAAAAAGAACTTTTTACCGGGGACAATAATTGTTAGTTTAAATATGCGCCTACAGTATTTGTAATATTTTTGTCAATGATCATCATTTCAGGAATTAAGGACAGATACTGATGAATTTATTTCTTTGAAAATCTCTATTAACAATAAGACCTAAAAAAAACCTTTAATCATGGAAAGTGCAGCAGAAAATACTTCCTGTATCTTGTGTAATTAATGATTAGTTCCCAATGGAGACCAGGTGGAGGCTATAGTTTTGTGTTGTGACTGTCAGCTCTTCTGTCCATTCTCTTCTATCTTGTCCAGACTCAATATAGCTATCTCCTACGCTTCTTGTCACTGAAACTTCATAATTAGAGAGAGGGTTCACCTTGATGAAGCAGTGTGTCATGTATCAAAAGGAAGTCACTCTTTTACTGTGTGTCTTTGTTTGAGTTTTGAACTATATCTTGTGTGATGATTTAAGAATATTGATCTTGTAAACATTTCAGTGTTCAAAATGTTTGTTGTAAAATATCATGTTCTGTTTTTGTAATGTCTGTTTATACCAATGTAAAAACTTCAGAAATAAAAAAATACATTGTAATTAAAAAATGTAGGTCACTCTGACTTTTTTTTACTTTTGACCTACATAAAAGAAATGATTATGGGGGCCTCATCTCCTTCACTTTGTGTCACATGAACTTCATACTTAGGGTATGGATTCAACTTGGCGAGGAAGTGTGTCATGTATCAAATGTAGGTCACTTTGACCAACATTTTGACATTTGACCTACATCAAAGAGAACGTTTTGTTTGGGCTCTATCTCCTACATTGTTAGTCACTAGAACTTCATACTTGTTGTGTGGGTTCACTCGAGTGAGGGGTGTGTTGCAGGGGAACAGTAATTTGCTGAATTGTATTGTTTGAACATTGTCACAGCACTATTGAAAAGCATGTCCTGGATATGTCTCAAGATTACTTTCTTCCCCCTTCCCATTACTGAGCCCCAAAAACACTTCTGGTCATAATCGTAACTAACTGTAAACAGACAATATGGGCAAATAATAGATTAGTTACATATACTGAACAGAAACAAATATCATTAGTTATCCTCAGTGTAAGTTGGGAGTAAGTTTTTACATAAAGTTGTAATTATTGTGTTATAGATGGAAACAACAATAAAGCAGGCAGAGGAAGAGAGGAACAGATCCTTGGAATCTGCAAAAAAACTGTATGAGGAATTTCGGCCACTCAAGGGTGAGGTTGACCAAATGCGATCAGTTATTGGCATGGACAAGTTGCCAGACCTTCAGGATGAGGATGAGAAACTTACACCTGAGTATGTAAACAAGACAGTAGCCTCTTTAATAACACTGAGTCATATCAAATACAAAATTCTCAAACAATGGACAATTGGGTGATTTTAACATGCATAAAGTTGACTTGCTGAAAAATCTTAATTTGGAAATTTTTTTTTTGGAAAGTTGAAAGGATCTTTCTGATTGATGCACCAAATATGACTTGATTAATTAATTTTATTTTCCCCTGTATATATAGACTAGTATTAATTCTTCTATCTAGTGCATTGTAAACCTACTGTTTTTGGTGTAATTAAAGTTTAGTGAAATATCAATTTTGATCTAATACAGGTAATTGCAAGAATGAATTTGGGCATTCAGTAATTGCTATATTAATAACCTATATAAATCAAAGAAATACCTTTTTTTGCAATAATCACTGAAATATGTTAACAGCTAAGATATATAGGTTTACAATACTTACAATGTCTAAAATTAATAAAGCTGCCAGTTTGGTATTTTCTCAGCAGTTGAAGATCTCTGGTTATCAAGTTTAAGTGAACTATGGCAATATTTTATTGTGCATATCATTGTAAAATCTTATTTTTAATAAACCCTGTACACCTTTTATTTTACAAAAATAATACCCAGATGCATGAAACAGATTTACAATAACATTTAACAGGTATTTTGAGAAGCAGAACAAAGACTGGGTCGCCGAGCCACAGCCAGAGCCTCAACTCCCCCAGTCTCTTGCCATAGCAGCAGCTGCAGCTCAACAAATCCAGGTTCCACGCAACAAGCCTGCTGAAAGACAGACATTCAGACAACAGCCACCTCCTATGAAGGTACAGATATTAATTAGACTTTGATTAGAATATTTCTTTTCAAGAAATTTTTTTTTTTTTTGCTTGCTCAGCTACATATAATTTAAAGAATTAAGAATGTGTGGTTGGCATAGAAATTAAGAAAAGTAAAAGTGTGATTGTAATTTATTATGACCAGGAATAATTGATGATAAATACCAAAATGGTGCAGACAAATTTTGAATATTATTGTATAAGAAATTTCCTAATCTATGGATTTATCATTTTGTGTTTGATAAAATTATTTGGAAAGGAAAATGTGAGGTTACAAATCATACATGCATAAAAAATTGTATGTAATATATTTAGGCATTTAAAATAGTTATAACATAACCACTTATCCTAAAAGCGTTTTCGTAATGTATATTAAGTGTTTATTAAATTGAATCATAATTTTTTTGCAGGCTTGCTTATCTTGTCACCAACAGATCCACAGGAATGCGCCCATATGTCCTCTCTGTAAGGCTAAGAGTAGATCTCGCAATCCAAAGAAACCAAAACGCAAGCTGGATGAATGATAACACAAAACAGAATTTTATATTGTAATGTGTCACTTTGAATTCCATGTTTTCATACTTCTTGGTGAATTCTGTCGTTACTACGCAAGGTATAGTTGAGGATATAGATCAAGATCATCTAATTTGGATAAGAACTTGGAAAGTTAAAATTGACAGCTCAAATTGTGTTTTCATTGCATCCCTAGCTTGAATGTCAGCTTTAAGAACAGAGAGAATTATCAATCAGTATCAATTCATTTACTCTCATGTTGAAGGGAAAGAAATTTTATATTGATAATTACAGATTCAGATTTCTTTAGAAACTGTCAGATTATAAATGCTGATAAATAATGGTGTTTTTATCTATTCTATATCATGACATAAATTTCGGTATTAAGTCATTTGTGGTAGTTTTATTCTGGTTGCCGTAGTTTAACTCTTGTTTCAATTTATTTTATTGAAGTGTTTACATTTGAAGAGATATTCCAGCATTATATTAGTTTTTCTATAGGCTTGTTAGACATTTTTTTGTTGTAGATATTAGGCATTAAGATATACATGCTTTTTCATTATTCAATTCTTTTGAAATTGTTTTGCTGATGACCTTTGCAACTTAATATTTCACATGAATTTAATGTAATTAAACAATAAATGCTGCATAAACATATGTCCATCTCATTGCACTGCCATGGTTTCAGACAGAGTTACCTCCCTTTTGGAAATTGATATAAATATTCGGTTGATCAAGAAGCAAAAGATGGATCAGCAGTACCTCACTTTCATGTCAAAGTTTCTTTTACAACAAACAACCATGTTGAATTATGTAATCAACCTGCCGTCTCAAATCAGACTACTTAACAATTATGTTGTTTTTGAAAAGCAATTGTGTGTGCCTATGTCAGAAAAATCTCGGATCCTGGCACAGAAAACAAATTTGAGGATTTCTATTAAATGCATTCGTACCATTCTGTGGTATATAAGACTTCAACAATGAAATATACTTACTTATAATTTGATTTAAAGTTCTGTACCTCAAAATCAGTCGATTGTTTATTTGCCCTTCACTAATAAAGTCTGTGATTTTCTTATGTGAATTTCCCAGTGAATATTTACTACCAAACCTTAGAAAAAAATTGTAACATCAGCTGTTAAGTGTGCTATAATCATGGATGGAAAAGTAAGCTAATCTATAGCGAGATCTCTTGCCACATAAGTACAGTAAACATTCATTGTCAAGGAGTAGTTAAATATACTCAGGGGAAAAAGGAGCAGCATATAAAATTCAGACTATTATTGACAATATGAAATAAACTTTAGTATGTGACAAAGAATAAATTAGATTTAAGATGGAGATTTTTGTGAGATTTATTGTACAGGTATGTCACCTGAATGTGTTGTAAGTGTTTCTATGCTTTAAGTCATCACAGTCATCAGAAACACATTGGAAAATTCAGTAAAAATTTATGTAGGATTATGTTTGTCTTTATTAGATCTTATTCTGGTTTGAAGAAAAACTATTATTACCATGTGCATGTCTTATCAAACTTTGTACTACATGTGTGTCCTGTGTATGTATGATGTACCCTATGTAATAGTCTTGGTTGTGACAGATTGATGTTTACATATACCAGGTAATTTGATGATTTCATCTTTTGTCATTCAAGGCACAATGACCCCTCAGGTGCTTATTTATAAAATGCTCTATTGCATTGATGTTTTAATGAATAGCCACGATAGCCAATTTCACTACTGTTTAGGTTGATCAAAGTACAGTAAACATGTCCAAGGATGTCAGGACTGTTTCACTTGCACTGAAATGTAGCTTGGCTTCCTATGTGAATGTTGACTAAACTGTTGTCAGTGGTAACAGGAAATCAACATGACAAGCTCTTTTTGGTCTGACTGTGCTCTGTCAGCTGAAAATTGATAATTGATCAACTTAGCTGTATTCCGCAAGAATTCACTGCCACACAACTCATTTTCAAATGATCACATTCCATTTGTGTTACTCTAAATATTGAGATTTCAACAATTCTGAATTATTATATTTACTTACCAAAGATTGATGTTGGTGCTATATTCAGATAAAATGTCCCGACGTCATGTATTGTACCGTTGTGATGTGTCAGTTTCATTACAAAGTGTAATGTTATCAGTGGTGTGAGATGTGTGTTGAGAATTGCTAGACTGTATTATGTTATTGATGTTATAACATGTAGAGAGGACTATGTGTGTTGTACACTTGTTATTCATCGAACAATTTTTTTATACAATTTTCTAGACTAGAATAAATATGAAAACTGAGGCCTTGGTTGTGTTAATCATTCAACACGTATATATTGATCATTAGTTCATCATTCATACTGATTTTCTTTAAACTGTAGGGTAATTACTTTTAATCAAATTGTGTCCTTGGACATCAGATCTGTTATTAGAGAAATACTGAAGGATACTGAAGGAAGTTTGTTTAAAATCATCTCATGACTAATCAAATTATTGCACAGAAACTTATCGTCATGTTAACATTTTTCTCGAAGGGTCATGATGACCTGTAGCCATTGTGCTTTGTCTGTCTTCATCCGCCGTGCGTAAACTTGACATTTTAAATTTCTTCTCAAGTTCCATTAGTGGGATTGAGCTCAGACTTGCGTTAAATGATCCTGAGATGGTCCTGACCATCTGTTGTTATTTTTCGGGTACGTCTGAAATCCAAGATGGCTGTCATCTTGAAAAACATAGTTTTAAACTTCTCCAATTCTACTTGTGCCATTAAACTAAAAATTGGTGGACATGTTAAGGAAAGGTAGCCAACAAAGTGTTAGTATTTTTCAACCATGTCAAAACTTTGATACGACAGCCAGGGAGGCCATTTTATTACATGATTGTGCAATCATGGTTTTCCTGTGCAACGCTTATTTCAAACTTCTCAAGTTTCACCACTTGGATCGAGCTCTTTACCGTCATATAAAAGGTAACACTTGTTACAGTTACTTACCTCACCAAGAGTACCATCTGCATCATGGAAAACAGCTCCTTAGTAAGCTTTCATTCACAGTAGAATAACTCTTCTCCTTGCTGAAAGTTTTTATAGTCGGATGACTAGCTATAGGCCTTGTATATCTTTTGTGGTTTTGACAAAAATGAGTTAATACAAAATTTGCGAATTAAATTTCAAGTGCTTTCCGACAATTAGAAATGACAATCTCCATATTTCAAAATGAAAGATGTTCATCTGTAAGCCAATCAAATGAATTGGAACAGCCTGCAATATCATGGTGGATGTACCATTGGTAATAAACTGATGCTAACCTGTCCATCTCCTTTTGTACTGCAAATAAAATCTAGAAACAACAAACACATTTTACTAGATCTAAATTTCATTTATTTATTTTTTATTTCAAATTCAAAACAGTTATATCAATATGATGTAGTGTATGTGTTACTTTTTTCTGACTCATTACAAAATGCTAAATTAAGCTATAAAAGTCACCCTTTCTTGCAACACATTTACAAACAAGACTACCAGAATACTTTTTCCCTCTTAATTGATGCTGCAGTAGAAACAGGTATGGTAAAATTTAATGTACATCCAAACATGTTGACATATCCAAACATATTGATGGACAAGTACTTACATTTATTACAGTAATTTGGTTGTTGAAACATATTTAACAAAACTTTTATAAGATGAAATACAAGAAACCTCTGTTAACCTGACAAAAATTTGAATATCAGTTATTTACAGGTATACTTAGAAACAACATTATACCAGTAAAAGAAAATTTGTACTGGTAAATGCTGTCCTTGACTTTTAAAACAAATTTCTAAACTGAAAGCAATAACATTTTCTATAAATTCCTTTTATGATAATTTGCATATATTGAAAGTACAAGATGAATTTCTGTACCTGTCACAAGAGATTTTGAAAAGCATGTGGTTGATCTACTACTGGTACATGGCATTTAAAAGTGGGCTTTCAAATTTGGAGCGAGTCCCACAGGAAAAGCTGGAGTTCAGGACTCAAATACCAGAGTCCAAAAAATAACTGAATAATCCCATTTCTGTCATCATTTATTGACAAAAACAGTCAAAAGTCTGGACATGTGGTGATCAGTTGTTTGTGGTTCTTTAATGGTAGGTTCAACTATGGTATCTAAATGTACCTTGTACAAGTGAACTGAACATTTTTTTAACATAAAATAGTTTCAGAGAGACAGCAGAATGTATCACTGAAGCTCAATTCTAAAATACTTTTGTGTGCAATGATTTATCATTTTTCAAAGGAAAAGAAGAGTAATGGAGTTCCTTCATTTACTTACATTACTTTGTAAAACTGTACTAGTTCCATATATGGAGTACTTCATACTAAGCGACCATGAACTATCCACCAAGAGTGTAGTAATTGAATTTGTGCATATATCACATATAAAACATATCAACAGCAACGAAGCATTGTTTTTTGTCCAAAAGCCTGTACAAAATTTTCATCAAGGCAACATAGAACTATTCACAACAACTCTGATCAACAAGGATATTCAAAACCCTTGCTATTAAGATGATAATTGATGAAAAATTGTAGGAAAATTTCTTTAATACCCAAAAAGCTAATATCAAAAATCTTAATTAGTACTTGATGTTAAATAGTCAAGATGACCTGTAAAAATACTAGATTCTTTCAAAATCTGGCAAAATAAGTGATGTCCATTATAAAAATTTCTTTCCTTATTCTTGATAATGTAAATTGATGTAAATCTATAGATTCCTACTATTAACAAATTTGCCAAGAATTAAACATACAACATATAAAGACATGAATACAATACAAATGTATTAATCATAAAGAAAATACAATTGTACAACATTTTACACCATAAATTGCCAAGATAATACTAGCACTTTCATCATTCTGGCTGATGTTTAATTTCTTGCCTTTATTTCTACAAATTCTACAAAATGGAATTTTCTATTATAATATTTCCTCAATATGAAATTGCAGGGTTACTCAATTCTGTTTAAATTTACACTGCATGAAGTATGCCTTAATCATAGGTCCTGAATGTGGTATTATCAATAGATTAAGGACAATCACAAACTTTTTTTTCTTTCAATAAAAAAAATTGTTTCAAATATATGAAAGAAGTGCTCATCAACAAGTAGGAATTATTTAAAGAAGAATTATCTTATATGTAATTATTGATGTCAGAGATCTTCACACATGCATATGGTAATTATAGAGACAAACCATCATGCACGATACATTTTATCAGAATATTTGATTATGTCTCGTACAAATCCATTAATGAAGAGAAAAGGTAATATAATCCATGAAATATATATAACAGTCATATTATGAATCACACACTCCAACAGTAACAATTGTAGATTGCTGCTCTGTCCAAGATTACTGTCAGAATTCAATTTCCAAAAACACCACATGGAATAAATAATCCTGTCTGTGAGATTGTTTGTCCATGTTCTCCACCATGGGATTGACATCATTACAGGCATTATCACAATATGTCATCATCATATAACTTCTACTTGTAATGACAATGGAGTTAGACAGTCCAGTAAACTCAATCTCTCAGCAAACCAATTAACAGTTCATGTCTACAGACACCTGCTAATAATCAGTCTTATGTGTTCAACATCTTAAAGTCCATGACATCTCAGCAAAATATCGACCTCTTTACATCTGAAAAAGTAGGTATTACAAACACATGTACATGCATATATAGAATTATAGAGGCAAACAATGTATTACACAGAGAAAACATGCATATCTATATTGATATCTCTATAATAAATAACAATAAATATATATATATATATATATATATATATATATATATTATACATATACTTATACACATCAGTATATTTAACCAAGTCTTTTAAATACATAGATATAGAGAAATGGTATAATCCATGGAAACATATATAATCATGGAACTGCTTTAGGTTGGTATTCATATAGATATGAATGCCAACAGGAAAAGGGCAAATTTGGTGCTCAACTGACTTGGTAATTTTACACTGTAGCAATTTTTTAAGGATTATCTTTCTATTTCGTTTTGGTTATTGGGGGATAACTAAAATAAGAATTTAGCTGAATTTTTGAAAGCTAGTGATTTCAGTTTTCCTTCATTAAAATACTATTTCTTTTTTTATTGATTCCAAAGTCTATAGACACAAAAATGATAAGAACATTCATTTTGCTGAACTAAAAACTATCATAATGGAACCGCCTATTGTTTTAGTCTTCTGATATGTACCACAGCAACAAAACGAATAATTAATTTCAAATATTACACTTGTATTTATAAGTCACTTGCTATATACAAAATCTAAACATTTATTCTTCTGAGTTTTCATAAAAGAAAACCTCACAAGTTTTACAAAAATGGCATACTGAGCATACTTTAAAAAGACTTCATTTTGCAGAGGTACTTTAGAATGCAAAAAATTCAAGCCCAGTGTGTGATTTGGTGATGTTATTGAGAAGTCCTTCATTCATAATGTCATAACACGCGAGAGAAACTATCATGATCTATTTATACAGATTACAGAATTTACACAGTTTATAGTGTCAACTAAAATGTTAGCTATAAATACTTAAGTTAAAATTAATCAATCCAACATACATAGACATTGGAATATCAAGCTAAAATATCACCAGAATTATTTTACCATTTCATTTTGCATCAGATGTATGATAACAGTGGAAATTTGAGTCCACTTTGTTGCAGAAAAACCTCTTTAATATTATAGTATTTTAAGGACCTAAGTTAAGAATAAGGGCTGTGTGATCTTTAAATGGTCATCATTAAGACCTATCATTGTAGACAGTTTTTCCTTTGCCAGAATTACTCAATTAACAGTAATCACTTTGTTAAAAAATGGACGTAACCGGTATATAACCTAAACATATCCAATAATATTTGTTCTCTAAGCTCTATTTTGTCTTCAATAATTAGATAAAATGCTTAATCAGACAAAATATAATGTCATGATTTACTTATAAAATACATAACACTGATATCCTGGTATCGAAAATATTGAATTTTAACGTTCAGCTAAAAAATGTATCAATGTAGATGAGATTTTTCTTTAACAATACATCAGTATGGCCTATCAATGAATGCCTTGGACATTATGTAACTCACAGTGTTACCAGTCTCATAGTATTACAATCTTGCTAAGTTTTCATTTTATGTAACATAAACCTAGTAATTATTAAGTATTAGTAAAATCAGCCAAAGACACTAACAGTAGAATGGTAGCCTGAGGTCCTAAAAATCAAGTCGGTCTCTCTCATATTCTATTCATAGTAGTCCATCAGGCACTTTGCTATTTTTACTCATCATAATTTGTTTCACGACATATAATATACATCTGGTATGCTTTAATACACCTTTTGATCTTTGTTAAGTTTTTAATGGTTAATTAAAGCAGGTAATTGATTCATAACTAGCACAAGCTCTGAACTGTCACAGCCAAATACAGTTATGTTACAAGTAACTGCTATGTCTACGGTACATTGGAGTGTAGAGTAGGGTGGTCGGAAGCTTACACTCAACAACAATCTTATGATATACCATCAGTACATGACCACAGGCAGATAGAAGCATTTTTGTAGTTACACGTTAGCCTGACACCGAAAAATTTATCTTGTGAATTATTGATTTCTTTGAGAACATATCTCTTGACCCCATTAATTGTGTATTGTGTCCTCACTTTCATTGTCACCTTTTTAAGACCTCATCGTATCAAATAGGCCCTCCTCTTTTCCCTTTGCAACAGACATGTGGTCTCTATTTTCATCATTATGAAAACTGTTCCTCTGTTTTTCTAATGGTGACCTCTTGTCTCCCTTTTCATTTCTCTGCCACAGCTTTTCTGTGGTAGACCTATGACCTTCCTTTTCATAACCGTTCCCTTGCCTTATGGTAGACCTATGACCTTCCTTTTCATCACCGTTCCCCTGCCTTTCCATGGTAGACCTATGACCTTCCTTTTCATTACTGTTCCCTTCCCTTTCTAAGTTACCGGTTGACCTATGACCTTCCTTTTCATAACTATTCCCATACTTTTCTAAGACTGACCTTTTCCCTTTATTTTCATAACTGTTCCCCTGCTTTTCTGTGGTAGACTTATGACCCTCCTTTTCATAACTGTTCCCCTTCTTTTCTGTGGTAGACCGATAACCCTCCTTTTCATGGCTGTTCCTCTCCTTTTCTATGTTAGACCTATGGCCTTCCTTTTCATAATTGTTCCTCTGTTTTCCTATGGGAGTTAAGTGGTCTACCATTTCATTACTGTTAGTGTCAAAGGCTGAATGTGGATTAACAATAGGAGTTATTTGCTGGCGACCAGTTTTTACTGTAGACACTGAATATTTACGATTAGTAACTTCAAAATTACCCACATTTTCAATATCATCCTCATCTCCATCAAAGTTATTCTGGAACTCAATTTCATCTTGATTATCTTCATCAAAGAGGTTGTCGTTGAGTTTTGCTGCAAAAAAGAGAAAACTAATTTAAATATCAAACTCTTAATGGTAAAATTTATTACACACTAAATTAAAATCAAATGGAAGTGTATGTTAGAACAGGTTTTGAATAAAAACTTGATTGGAACTTTCAATGAAACATTTTACAGTTTAAAAATCGGCAATATTATAAATAGATATATGTTTGATTAATATGTGCACAGACTGCACACTACAATACCACACAAATTATATGGTGGAAAAGTAATTTATTTCCTCTCAAAGTTTTAGGGTATAAAAAATTTGCTCTAATCTTACCAGATTCTGGAAGTTCTCCATAAGCCTTTAGATTTCTGGCCTCATCTGGTGTGTATTTCAGTATGACATCCGCTTTATTGTCTTGGTAGTCCCTAAGTCCCAGTAGGATGATGTCTCCAGCATTGATCCACACCTTCAACAACAATCTTAGTTATTGCATGCAAGACCTAATCACCATTTTACGGCCAATCTCTTATTCAAAGGCTATAACTCTGAACAGCAAACGTAAACCCTAATATTCCTCAATCTAAAAAGAAAGTAATGCAAACTCATTTTTATCAATATTGTTTACTGTACATTCATATGGGATTTTAAGTTACAAATTTGGTTTACCAAAGGTCCCAAAGGGACCAAATATGTATATGTTGAAGCACAAGTTTAACTTTAGCATACAGCATACACTTTTGATCTATAGCAAAAATCAAATATACAGCAAAAATCAAACATACACTGCATAGGTCCTTACAATGATTGATTTATTTGAAATGTACATTTAACTTTCCTTGACTGCATTATTTCATAGCTGTTTGTATGCGTACCTTTTTCCGTAGCTTTCCTCGGATGTGACATAACCTCTTTACTCCATCAAAACAGAGAGCTTCTAATCGTCCATTGCCCAACATCTTTGTAACCTGTGCATACTCTATAAAACATCATTCATTGTAAGTTTTTGCTTTTTTCAAATCAGATCTAATATCCTCAAATGTACATCAAGGAAACCATCTGGTAATAAAACACATATTATGGGAAAAGTGTGAATCAAGCACTAAAATATTCAAGTTAAAATCAGAGGACGTAATTTTTTTACAGAAGAAAAATACATGTATTATTAAAGTGTAGACCAAAATAGGTCTTCTTATAGAGTTAAACATCCTCGATATTTCATGGGTTAAGCTCATTATCGCTCTATGAACCCCTGGAACATGTGTCGTGGCAAAATTAAAGGTTCCATGAAGGTGCGACACCTTGTGGACAAGACTAGTCTGATCCTTCGATGATAAATGAATCTCCAAGTTGTATAGCAACATATTGTAATGACTTTGAAGTTTGGTGTTGCTCCATTGTAATCTTCAAAGGAGCATATCAACCTGTGATTGTTCAGTTTTTTCCTCCTGAAGAAACTCACTTGAGACCAATCGAATTACTTCAATTCTGCCATATTTCCAGGTATGCAGAGAACAAAAGTGAGTGAAACATTTGAAGTATCGAGGATGAGAGAATAAGAATAACAAACATGCTCCTAAATTATGTATGGTTTTCTATCATCTAAATTTCACCACACACTAATATCCTGGCAGTTCACTTCTTTTTCTTCAGAATTTCTGATGGCCCACTGGCACATCTAAACAAAATAACCAGTGTTAGTGATCCTTTCTTTTATTTCAACTGTTATTTTTTGTGCAAGTTATGCTTAATGATGATTCCAACATTTGTTTTCCTCAAACAATCTATGGATACATATTAATGCCAAACTCATCATGTCATACAGTAGTTGTTACATTAACTAGAGTAACTGTCAAAAGACAACACTTAGATCTAAAACAGCCTTGAAAATACTTAAATAATCATAGCAAATGAAGGTTAATCATATGTGCCTTCAGTTTCAAAAGCCTTTAACCAACAGATCATGATCTTGTTACCTTGCCCATCTTCTCTGAACACCAGTTCTCTCTTTTCATTTTCATTCTCATTTTTACCCCTCCTCCTGTTTTTTCCTCCTTTTCCTGTAATAAGACAAATAAATGGAATGATTTATTTCAATTGAATCATCTGAACTGATTTCATCATAAAATAACTAGACAAAGAAAAAATGTATAGGCCAAATAATAAAGTATTTCAGAAACGTCTAAAATAAAACATATATTGTAATATACAATAATTGTGGTCAGGTGCACTTGGTGCAGTGGAAACACACTTGTAAGGTGTCAGCTGCCAAACCATGTTGGTTTTCCACATTCACGTAGCTAGTTTCTTCCCATTGTCTGGGCCAACAAGACTCAAGAGTGATTATAAGTTGTGAACTTGTTTGCAACTGTTTTTAATAAATAAATTTTATGTTGTATTTTATGATTGTTCCATATGGTAACCATTTCACTTTTCACAATAAACATCTCATTGTAAGCAACTGTTCATAAAATAGAGTGTGTAGATAGTGATATTTTCAATTTGTTTTTACTGTCTTAAGTGCAAAAGCTAGTTGAAACAACGCTGCCTCAACACAATATATTGATTGGTATATGGAGCATGTGTATTGTACAGATTATTTTAGAGAAGCAATGTTTCATTACACAGATTTTGGGAACTAGGTGACTGTGAATTCACTATTGGCAATGTTTAAAAAAGTTTGATAATTATATAAACTTTACATTTCATGAAATCATATACTGTAAAAACAATCACCTGGTATTACTATTAAGTAATAACACCAATGTATCTTCTACATCTAAAGAGAAAACAAAGGCTATAGCATCAAGTAAATGATGCTTTAATGCAATATTGAAAGTTCAACTTTTTTCCGTTACAATCAATTTAGTGAAACATTTTGGCAAATGAGTATTCTACTTTAGTTTGTACAGTTAACTTCCTATTATACCTTCTGTAATACAAGTGGTAGAAATTAAAACAAAGAGAGCAAGGTCTTCCATACATGGATATCCTCATCCCTGGATCTAAGTGGTCAAGGATGACCTTTGACCGTAAACCTTGACCAATGACCAATAAAATCTAATATACTGTCAACTTTGGTGATATGATGCCTAGTGTAAATATAAACCTAATCTGTTTAGGGGTTCATGAGATATCTTGTACAAGAGGTTATCAGAGAAACACACACATGCGCCAACACGTCACACAAAGTCATCACTATCATATGCCCCTCCCCAACAAGTGGGGTTATAATTTACTACACTCCATTCAAAGTATTTCTAAGAATTCTGACTATCCATCCACTATTTTGTTTTGATGGTGGTCAACCAAGACGTAAATAAAATCACAGATAGTTAGTCAGTATCCTTCAATTCAGGAGACTACCTTCACAAATGATTGCATATGTGATTTACCTTATCTTCTTGACCTTCTAGAAGACTAAATAACCATTTTCCCCATGTTAATTTTTTCATATTTTTTTTTCTTTTAAAATCAAATACTTGTTAACTTAACCCACAATTCCAAAACTCCATTGCAATCTAGGTTATGGTTTCGGCAATTTCTCTGGTTTATTGTCTGGGCTGATAGTCTTTTTTTAATAGCAGTGATAGTTCTACATTTCTGTTGCATTACACTTAGTAAAAATATGTTATCTATTTCTTAATTTTACAATAATCAATAAAAGTCTTGTACAGACACATTTTTAAAATATATATATATATGTTTGTTCTTTAAAAGTATCCTCCTTTGTTTTTGTTTGTTGTCAACCACAGAACATTCTGACATCTGTAAACATCTGCTCATAAAATACACATGTATGTTTAAATATCCCTTATTTACTTCTTTTGTATTTATTCATACTCACTATATCGACTGGCCATCTATAGTTTACCTTCATGTTATGTGATCTGTGGGCCCAAACATAACTTTGCTGTCATATAGGGTTTCAAAACCTTCTTTACTCATTAAAACAACACATTTCGATTGTCAGTGATCATTTGGTTATATTTTTGTCATTAATTTAATCATAAAGACCTGTGTTATATGGCAATTACTAATTAATAATACAGTACAGCATCTTGTAAACATACCATATAACCAGTATGTACATGTCTATAGTATTATACTTCAGTCCTTTTTGTGTGAAATTATCTGATCCTACAAGAAATGGTGCCAGAGTTTATTGGTTGATATGTCACAGAACCTAAAAACATTCCTTAAATGTGTAATATAAGTAATAACTTAAATGCCTCTGCCAAGATCCAAAATAACAACCTCTGGCTTTCTAGTTGAACACTAAACTAGTTACATTAACAAGAAGTTCTCTCCTGTCCGAGTGAGTAATAACCACGGTAAAACATGTATTTATTGGGATCATATTATTTTACAACAAAGCAGAATTGTCCTGTGTCTGGGACATCTTTAACGTATATAGTACTTATAAAAAAACCCAATGAGATTACTAGGAATAAACTAATTTCATACTTATTTAACAGTTAGTGTAAACATGTCCAATTTCGTGTGAAGCGATAAAATATCAGCAAATGTAGTCGGGGATGTATTGTTCCTTGAATAATAAAAATTATTGTTCGTTTCCAACCGTGGGCGTTATCCAATTGTTTCATTTTAAAATACCACCACATAATTTAAATACATCGGCTTCATACTGGTTACACAACATCCATTTCAAATAACGTGTTTTTCCTGTTCTTTAAATGCTCAACAAGATATCACATAAATTTCTGACCAGTATTCATGATCAGCTGGTGATGTCGTGGAGACGAAAAATGAAATATGGTCATTTCAATGGATCTAATGATCGCTAAATAACCGAAGTTTACGTTCGATGTGAATTATTACCTTTGTTTTTCGGCATGATTTAACCTTCTTGACGATCTTAGATATATAGAGAAATTTCTTTTTCCTGTCTAATTAAGGAAATTAACTACACAAAATGCGTCTTTCCTTTCAACATGTGAATTTATCCTCTACCGGAAGTGTGCGATACACGAATTGTGGGAAATCAACGTTTGTAACAAACTTTACAGTTTCTTGCCATCAAAGCGTTTTGTTGACGTCGATATTGTGCATTTCATTGCATCAGACTAGAGTAATTTGTCCATGTTATTTTTGGGTGTTGTATCAGATACCTCATTTCAAAGAAACTGTTCTAGTTTTGATTTGGACTAAATTCTAGTCGTTTTAAAATACAGAATGAAAGACGTTTCGATACTTTTGTGTTGGGATTTCATTTTACATAGGATTTATTTATAACCATTGAAAATCTACAATTATATATTTTTCTCCTTCAAAATGTTTGTTTGTGTACGCTTTAAGCAATTGAAAATGAATTATTTTAATATTTTTTTCACTCTTACTATCCCAATGTCATTCACACCTAAACTCAAGGAGTGAAGAATACCGTGAATGTCGGCTGTTATTCACATATTTTTTGTTAGTTTAAAAAAAAACTTTCGGTAAATCTAACCTTCTGAAAAATCATCACAAGAACAAGAGTTACCTTTTGGAAATATTGGCTACCTGACTTTGTTCATCCTTAAATACCATCAATGGCACGAACTCCCTGCATTTCATTACAGCAAGATGGCGGAGGACATTACAACATGAACAACATGTACATGAACCAATGGAAATATGCAGTGATTGTCCGTAGCATTAAACTAGAAAATATTCCATTGATTAAATATTAAGAAGATACTTTCTTTTAGCAGTAGCGTGAATCAAAGATTTCTCAAACTCTTCACATTTTTGCAGGACAATAGTTGCATTGATTTCAAGACAGACGGACGACGGAAGTAATAGGGTTTAATATATTTGTTTCTGAGCTCTGAGTAAACTGGATATAATAATAATATGAAAAGAGTTTCGTCCTCGATATCATTACTATAACAAAGAGAACAATACCGTTGGACTCTGGAAATACCGTTATATCTGCCCTTTACGTAATGTATGGACTGTAACCGAGACTTACTGAAGATATTTTTATACTAATTATGTGAACACTTACATTTTTCGATAAAAATTACGAGATTGAAAAAAATAGTGACGACTCTTCCAGCTTCTCGGATCAATTATGATATAGTGTACCTATCCCGCTAATGCATAACTGAATTAGCTATATAAAACTATTCTATAACCAACACTTGTCTGATTCCTTATTATTCCTGTGATCTTGGTGATAAAGAGACATGATACAAGGACCTTTATTTTTTGTCGAATTTCGTCAGCACTAAAACCTTAGGCTCTTAGGAGCTTGTATTTCGACAAATATATTGTAAATAAACAACACATAAACAACGAAACAATTATCACAGTAAAAGCTAAAACCATGACGTACAAATGTATCCAGATGACAAACAATTTAAAATCTTCACATGTTTAAAGTTTCAATCGTTTAATACCATTTACAAATTAGAGTTTGTAGATAAAAGAAGAGTCTTGAAATTGTTAGTGTAATCATTTTAAGTAAACCGCAAAGCCCTCTTTTGGACTCTATATATTGTTAATTACAGTCCGGCTTCAAAAAAATAAGAAAAGTGCTGTGCTGTCAAGATTTGATAAAATGAAAGATTTAAAGATCAACATCTATTGTCCTCGGTAAAAATGTCAATTCTGTTTAAAACTGCCAGCTGTCTGGATGCTTTCCTGCATTCACTAGACTGTCTAATCCGACTCCAAACAATTTCACGTACTCTTTACTAAGCAATGTAGGTACTACTATTATTAAGTGACGTTAAATTAATAAACTTATTTCAAAATGTTTTCTGATGGATTGGAATTTTTCAGGGTTAGCCTTCATTCCATTGCCATAATAAACAAACAATTAACATAGAGGCTTCCCTTTCTAAAACTTGCTCCATTTCCAGGACATTTTTATGAATGTACCTTAAAGTGTTGTCGTCAGCATTATTATAAATTGACACCTTCGACATATTGGAAAACTTCATTCACAAAATTATTAAAGATCATCGGGCTGAGTATTAAGCCCTGAGGTACTCCCTGTAGTAATGGGTCCCAGTCACTCAGCCCGGCCACAGCCTGTATCTAGAGCACAGCTTTGTTGGTCACTCCGTAAGGAGATAGTGTCTCTAAGAACAGGTCATGGGGAGGCAGTCGAAGGCCGCGGACAAGTCCATTCCAAAGCCCTCTTCCAGTCCAGTTCTTCACCATGCGCAGAAGGGTAGTCTGGCACCAGAAGCCAGACCTGTTAGCACTTAATAAATGGTTTAAGATATCTTTAAAAAATTCTGAAAGCTGATCTTGGAACAGTCTCTCATAAACTATAGAAATACTTGGAAACAGACTAACTTTTACTTTTATCTCGTGGGTCATCTTTCTTAAAAAAATAATACTACAATACTACACATGTAGCCTTTTCCCTCTGAAATTAACGAATAGTCTTTCATAAAACCTCTTTATAAAGAGGTGTGAATGAAAACGACTTTAATAGCATTATCACCGCTTACTGATTTTTTGGAAAGAAACAGTTTGACGTAGGGAAAAAAATCCTTCGATTTTGGCCCCTCCGATCACATCTTTCCCTAAAATATTCTGATAAGGAATGTTTCTTTAACTTATTCACAAAGTTAAGTGATTAAAAAGACGGATTTCACACGGATTTAGGTAATGCCATTTAGATAAGTTTAAAACAATGTTTTCTATTTTGTTTAGATCTGTGTGAGACCGAAAATTATCAGTTACGACAACATTCAAGTGGATTTCGAACTTTTCGGGTCGCATTCCTGATACAAATCAAGACGAGTAGCCTCCCCTTATTCATACCGCCAAAAAGAACATGATTGCCTATCCACGTTCGACTGACATAAAAAATAAAAAAAACACGATAAAAAAATTAAATCAAAATAACGTTGAGACAGATTTGACAATAAAGTCGACCAGTCTGACTAGCAAGCTTCATCACTTAAACATACTAGACATGACCACTAATAAAATTTAGTAAGTAGATCGATAACGGTATGTCTCCAAAATACTTGTTTTATTGATTTTCATTGTGTTTTAAGTTATACCATTGACTCTTTATGAAATATGTTGACAAAGACAAAAAGGGTAAAGAATTAGTATCATTATCGCTCCACTGGAGCCAAACCCACAGCTGTTCAACAGGTCAACTGAGGATATGCCTGGCAGATCAGATGGATTGTGTCACACTCGCTTCATGTAAATCAGTTGTCTTTGAAACGTCCTTCACATATAAATTCGACTTTATGGCTCTGATTTCATTACATCAAGAAGATTTCATATTAACTTCTTTTTTACTCACTCAGACCACAACTTGGCAATTTGCGCAAACGCAGCGTTTTGTACATTGTTATGCCCCCTGAACATTTTTGTGGGATTATATAGTCGCCGCTTTGTCCTACCGTCATGTCTTTCAAGCCTGGAGCATGACGTTGCTTCATTCACTTAAAATGGGATAATTGAACTTGGTGTATACAACGATCATACTAATATAATGTACAGTGCACCAAATTCAAGACCCGCAACCCCTTAATTACAGGGTGTTGCCCCTTGTAAAAAATTGTGTGTACAGCATAACTTTAAATTGCTTGCATTTTAACGAGAATAATGAAACTTGATGCATACATTCATCATACTGAGACGATGTACAGTGTTCAAAATTCATGACCCGTGACCCCTTAAATACAGAGTTTTTACTTTGTTTCACAATTTTCGTCCGGAGCATAACTTTGCCCACAATTAAGCAAGGCTAATGAAACGTATTGTATACATTTGATCATACCAAGACAATGTGCTGTGTACCAAATTCAAGATAATCGATTCCTCATTAATAGAGTCATTGCCCTTTGTGAAAATATACAGAGCATAACTTTGCTTACATTTAATCGTAATTAAATGTGGTGTATGCATTGGTCATGCGTAAACAATGTGTAGTTTACCAATGTCAGGCCCCTGACTCCTTAGAATATAAGTTCTTATGACACAACCAGTAGAAGATAAAGTGTGACGTTATGATGACTACACGATCACATTCACTCAGAAAAATAACCAGTATGGAGAGTAGTAGCACTGACTAATTATGATTTTATCAATGTGATTATTATAAATAATAGTGTTGTCATGTTTAGTGTGTAGCTATGATTGCAGACAATTAATTATTTTGTTTTAAAATCCTGTCATGTGTCACTGTCCACGTTGTCAATTGTAAATTTATTAATGTAATAATACAAAGTGTTCAGTTTGTCGGCAATATTAAAAATAATGTTATAATAATAATTGTGGAATGTATTAATTTACTGTTTGTACATCTATGTCTGTATGTAATATTATGGTTCTAGATATATAGTTTGACGAGATGGTAAACAGATTATAGACCAGATGGTAACAATGTACTGTAGTCAATTCGGCTATTCTTTGACATTACCAAACCAAAGAAAAGGCTCCAAAATACCCTAACTCCTTAATTACAGAGTTATTGCTCTTTGATGGGAAAATGCTTTATTTTGTCTGCATTTAAATCAGAATATTAAAACGTGATGAATACATCAGTCATACAAAAGCACGGTGCAGTGAAACAAAGTCAGGGTCAATGACCACTCAGTACAGAGTTATTGCCCTTGGTTAAAAATTTTTGGCACGAGCATAGCTTCATTTGCATTAAACCTAGAAAAATGGTCTTGGCGTATACATTGTTCATACTAAGGGAATGTGCAGCTACCAAATTCAGGGCCAGCATGGAAATATATCGGATTTTTCTTGTTTTTTTTATGATATTGAACTATTGTCAAGACCTAATATATCAAATATCAAATTGAGTCACATTAAATATTGGTTGAAAGGATACACAGGATATTGAAACAACGACGAAAATAACGGCATGTTAACGGACTCATAAACCAAAAACAAATTCGATGAAACGAGGGCAAAATATCAACTAAAGCAACTCCAGGAAAAGTACACAATTCTACATCACGCGAGTGATAACAACCT